TCGCGCGCGTCACGTACGCGTTTTAATTAAATGCCTCTGAAGTTTGCTCTGCTGGAAATGCTTAAACCGTGCGCTCTGAATCTGAAAACGAAATCAAAGCAGCGACGTTAACAGTTAACAGCGACGGCGACGGCGACGGTGACGATGGGGCACTTGGCGGCTTCCCGGTTGACACACGACTAACCAACTAAAGCTAACCCAAATGGCAGTCGCACGAATTCCAAAATCCAAAATCAAAATGAAAACCAAAACACAAACAATGAGCACAAAATAGATGTAACCAAAGCTAAAGAAACTGACAAACTGACAAAGCTGAAAAACGCCGGCAGCGACAGCGGCAGAACGGTCGCACCCCTCATCAAGCGGAGCCCCCGCAAAAACCAGGCGACGACGACCACACGATACTTTTGAATAATATTTACATTTAGTGTGAGTGTGTTGTGTGCTGGTCTTTCTGTTTATATGTTGTGTGCTTAACGCAGGCAGCGAGCCGCGCTGTTAACGTGCGCGAAACAAAAGCTACAGCTGCAGCGTCTTTGATAGGCAAGGGGTGAAGGGAAAAGAGCGAACGAAACGAGGCACAGACACAAAATATAAATGACGAAATTATAGCAGCAGCAACAACTACTTAGTGTATAAACAATGCACATTAAAATGTGTGCGGCAGAAGCGCAAAGCCAAAACGACAAGCAAAAAGCAGAAAGCAAAAAAAAAGCAACAACAAATATAAACAGCAGAAGCTACGACAAACGCTAGCAAAACGCACGCGACTTATGCACGTGCTATGCGCAAGCGCGTCTGTGTGTGCGTAAGTGACAGAGCGAGTATGTTTGTTGTTTGTGCACAGGAGTGCGTTTCAGTGCCAAAATGAACGAGAGAGAGAGAGAGGGAGAGGAAGAAAGAATGAGCGCTTGAAGTGAGAAAGTGAATTGCACTCATATTGCAGTTGTCAGCTTGCTTAGCATTCGTGCTGAGAGTTGCAACTACAGTGATAACTCGCTAATTGCATTTGTAATATTAAAAAAAACTTATATTAGAATAAATTTAGATTGAAATGTAAAAAGTAGAAGACTTACATAAGATATTATATATGTAAATATAATTATCATGGTTTTCTATCTCGTTTCGATAATTTATCGATTATAAATGCGCTGACCTCCTCAGCAGCTCAATCGAAAAAACGTGTTGTCACTTTACATGAGTGGTGAAAGCATGCCTAGCCAATGTCGATAAGTATCGATTTACGAATTGAAAATGAATCGAGATGCCATTTTAATAGAATATGAAAATATATATATATTTGCGCATACCACTCATTTGATCTGACTATACTGTAAAAGCTATATAGACATATACATAGATATATATATATATATATACACATATACATATATAATATATATATATATGATTTACACACAAAAACTAAGCACAGCGGGTTTGGCGGTTAACAATTGACGATGGTTTGGAATAAGAAATTTATATTATTGATATTCTGGCACTCGCTGAAGATATCGGGAGTTGTAACAATGCGAACAATGGCAGGATGGAATTGTGTTGTTGTTGCTGCTTGGAGTACTGCTGCTAATGTGCTGTGACTCTTGTGTTTGTCGCCGCTGTGTTGTTGTTGCTGATTGCTGCTCCTGCCGTTCATGGTGAACACCTGCGAAATGCTGCGCAGAAAGGCGCGATAGTCCCTCCTGTGCTCTATATCACCAGCCATGACTAGTCCCAGAGTCTTTGATCCTGCACTCATAGCAGATCTTTTAACACTTTATTGTTTTGTTGCTGTTGCTGTTGCTGTTGCTGTTGCTGCTGCTGTAACTGTTGTTATGGTTGTTATTACGTGTAGCTGACACACACACACACATGTACGCGCGCACAAGCACACGCCACACAATCACGCGTGAGATTCTCTTTTGCCCGTGAGCAGCAGCTGCCAACTGAATCTCTTGGCCTTTGTTTTTGGCTGTCAAGTTGCCCAACACCAGCGCCTAGCACAAAAACAACAACAACAATCAGAAAACGCGAGCGACACCTTCAAGACTGCGACTGCGACTGCGGCGACAACAAATGTGACTACGGCGACTGCAGCGACGGCGACGGCGACGGCGACGGCGAATATAGCTCACAATTCTTATCGGCAAACGGCTGATAAGCTGTACGCAGCTTTAACGGTAGTTTCTTCGGCACTTACGGACAAAATCAATAAAAAAAATAAGAAAAAAAGTAGAAGCAGAACACAAGTGCACGCCGCAGTAGGCCCAAAGGTGGACGGAATCTGATTCGGACTGCTCGGACTTGTTCCAGACGACCAACTAAAGAGCACAGAGTTAGCGACCGCATGGGCGCCAGCCGCAGTCGACGCTGGCAGCGACTGCGACACGTCACCGTTGTTGTTGTTGTTATTTTTTGTTTTGCTTTTTATTTATTTTATTTTTTTTATTTTTGTATTCTTTTTGTGTTGAATTTATTTTTACTTTTTGTTTTGTTTAGTGTGTGCTTTATACCATTATTTTTGTTGTTATTGTGCATGTTGTGGAGGGTACTTCTAGGTGAAACAGTGGTGCGATATAAATTTGTTCGCCATGACGCAGACTATGTGGATCAGTGTAAGTTGGTTATCTCTTATTAGATTCTCATTAGATTAGATCGAGCAGCGGACTTTAAACTGCAATTGTGATTTACTTGATTTGTTTGATAAGATATTGCAAATCGCTCAAGGACGTATATGTCTGTTTAATATATATTTCATGTATTTTTTTTTTAGTTCATAATGATGTATATAGATATATAATTATATTTTTTTTTTTACTATATATCATATGAGTTTATCAATCAGATTCCATACAACATATTCTTAAGAATTTTAATCATATATAAATTATTCAAGACAACAATATAACTGAATATTACATATTTAAAAAAAATTTAAAGAACCTATCATTATTTATAGAAATTAGCAAATATTGTCGAGTGGTTGAGTTATTCATATATTTATTTAGTATAGCTAACAAATACCAGTTTTCAATTTGGCTTTGATCGGGCCTCGTATTGTTCGTTATGCTAAATTCTGCTCCAACACAATAAACTCGTTTACCAATGGTCTTAAGAAAAAACGTTTAATGAATAAAGGGAAAGAGATGAAAACGCTTTCGCCGCGATGTGTGACAGCTGCGATAGCTTAAAGCTTAAATCAGTTAGATTGAATGCTATGCTTAAGCTTTCACCGCAAAATTCTTGTATAACAAATGGCATGTCGACCACTGTGCCACTGTTAATGTTTTTTTTTACACTTTGCTGCTGTTTATCAATGCCTATGGTTATTGCCGTCTATCGTAGTGTACCCTTACGTCATGTGTGTCTCACTGTGTGTGTGTGTGGGTGAGCATTTCATCTGCTTGTGTTTTGTTGAATTTAAATTGATGTTGGGTACTTGATTTGTTTTTGTTACCAAACCGCATTGGCTTGCAACGCTTACTCATTTGGCCGCTAGCTGGCGCTCAAGATACTAACGGCATAACCGTTGTGCCAATTGCAATTTCCAATTGCAGTTCACAGTTCGCAATTGTCGCGCGCGTCACGTACGCGTTTTAATTAAATGCCTCTGAAGTTTGCTCTGCTGGAAATGCTTAAACCGTGCGCTCTGAATCTGAAAACGAAATCAAAGCAGCGACGTTAACAGTTAACAGCGACGGCGACGGCGACGGTGACGATGGGGCACTTGGCGGCTTCCCGGTTGACACACGACTAACCAACTAAAGCTAACCCAAATGGCAGTCGCACGAATTCCAAAATCCAAAATCAAAATGAAAACCAAAACACAAACAATGAGCACAAAATAGATGTAACCAAAGCTAAAGAAACTGACAAACTGACAAAGCTGAAAAACGCCGGCAGCGACAGCGGCAGAACGGTCGCACCCCTCATCAAGCGGAGCCCCCGCAAAAACAGGCGACGACGACCACACGATGACTTTTGAATAATATTTACATTTAGTGTGAGTGTGTGTGTGCTGGTCTTTCTGTTTATATGTGTGTGTGCTTAACGCAGGCAGCGAGCCGCGCTGTTAACGTGCGCGAAACAAAAGCTACAGCTGCAGCGTCTTTGATAGGCAAGGGGTGAAGGGAAAAGAGCGAACGAAACGAGGCACAGACACAAAATATAAATGACGAAATTATAGCAGCAGCAACAACTACTTAGTGTATAAACAATGCACATTAAAATGTGTGCGGCAGAAGCGCAAAGCCAAAACGACAAGCAAAAAGCAGAAAGCAAAAAAAAGCAACAACAAATATAAACAGCAGAAGCTACGACAAACGCTAGCAAAACGCACGCGACTTATGCACGTGCTATGCGCAAGCGCGTCTGTGTGTGCGTAAGTGACAGAGCGAGTATGTTTGTGTTTGTGCACAGGAGTGCGTTTCAGTGCCAAAAATGAACGAGAGAGAGAGAGAGGGAGAGGAAGAAAGAATGAGCGCTTGAAGTGAGAAAGTGAATTGCACTCATATTGCAGTTGTCAGCTTGCTTAGCATTCGTGCTGAGAGTTGCAACTACAGTGATAACTCGCTAATTGCATTTGTAATATTAAAAAAACTTATATTAGAATAAAATTTAGATTGAAATGTAAAAAGTAGAAGACTTACATAAGATATTATATATGTATATATTATCATGGTTTTCTATCTCGTTTCGATAATTTATCGATTATAATGCGCTGACTCCTCAGCAGCTCAATCGAAAAACGTGTTGTCACTTTACATGAGTGTGAAAGCATGCCTAGCCAATGTCGATAAGTATCGATTTACGAATTGAAAATGAATCGAGATGCATTTTAATAGAATATGAAATATATATATATTTGCGCATACCACTCATTTGATCTGACTATACTGTAAAAGCTATATAGACATATACATAGATATATATATATATATATACACATATACATATATATATATATATATATGATTTACACACAAAAACTAAGCACAGCGGGTTTGGCGGTTAACAATTGACGATTGTTGGAATAAGAAATTTAATATAGTTAACTATGCGACAGACTAGGCGGGGCTTTCGAGCAGAGTGAGGGAGGAAGTGGAGCTGTGGATGCTGCGCAGCTCGCATAGTTCGTCCATTAGATCACGGAAGAGCATTGGATTGACGTTGACGCTAACCTTCATCAGCAGGAACCAATCGCCGATGGTCAGATCCCTGAAGACGTGCTGGACATGCTGTTTGGTCATGAAGCGCAGCTGGCTGCGTATCAGTAGCTCGCGTAGTGTTCGACTCAGCATCATGGCCAGGCGACAGATCAGATTCAATCCGGACATGAAGGCCATCAGCAGGAACCAGCACCAGAGGCATACGAAGATCTTTTCGTTCAGTATGTTCAGCGGAAGTATGCAGAGATTGTCCATAATGCTGGCCGTGCCGCTGGCCCCATACTTGAGCACCTCGCACTTGGCGATCTTCGGAAAGACCCGCGACGAGATGTGATTCCAGCGATCCCAATCGTAGAGTGGTATCGTTGCCAACGCATGCAGGTATTTGGTCCAGAAACCGTTGAGAAACACCTCTAGAGCCAAAATGTTGAGTATCTGGAATGGGGTGGAAAGTGGAAGGTGTGCGAATGGAAAGGGAGGGTGGCTAGTTGATAGGCGACAGCAATGGCAATCCCCCCGCTACTCACGCTGATCACAAAGTTGAGAAGCTCGCAGAAGACATACTTGGCCATGTAGCAGTAGTGCATGTCCTCGTAGTCGGTGGTAAAATACTTCACCAACAATCGCAGCCGTGTGTTGTAGGTCTGCTCCGAGAGCAGTGCCTCGCCCACCTCCGAGCAGAGTTGCTTCAAGCGCTGGCCCTCCCACACCTTCCACAGGCACGACGGAAAGTAGAAGATGAACGATTCGAACAGCAGCAGGATGATGACCCACTGATAGTAGCGCAAGTAGACGCGCTGCGTCTGGCCCCTCACCTCGGGACCGACGCCCTCCGCAATCGATATCGCCCGAGCATACTCCTCATTGTAATCGGCCAGGCGACGCAAGCTGACGCGATTGCGCCCGGCTCGGAACGGTGGAGGCGTGGGCAGGAGCTGGCGATCACTGAAATTGTCCAATTTGATGATGTAGGTTCCCATGGTCCAGCAATACGATTGCACATAGTTAATGTTCTTCTCTTCACTAATGCACTGAATGGGATCACCGAAGTACTGTCGCGCCGACAGCAGCAGGGAGCAAGTCAGCAATATGACCACTGTGCATTTGGAGTGTATTGTGAAGACGGCATCGTAGATGCGAATCGATTTAAATTGTAAATACTTGGACAGTGGCTTCACAGCCGAATACATTTCCTCCGCCTCAGGAAAGAGTTCCTCAACGACTGTGTCCAATTCTTAACCTCAGTCCTGATGGCTGTGCAGCTGCTATCTGGCTCTCTCTTCCACCAATGGCGTGCGCTATGGCCGGCGACAAAATACTGTTACGTAATGCGTGGTGGCGCCTTTTCACTTGCACTTGTTGGCTTTGCCTTTGAATTTGGCTTCTTCTTCTTCTGCTGCTGCTTCTTCTTATTCTGCTAACTGTTCACGTTGTTGTAGTGGCTTCAACTTATGTTTCGGCTGCTGTTCCTTTTTCTTCTTCTTCGCTTCTAGTTTGAACGCTTTATTTTAACAGTTTGTTTTTGTTTTTGTTTTTTTTTTTTGGTTTTTTTGTCTTTCTTGCAGTTTTGTTGAATCTGTTGTTGTTGTTTAGGGTTTCTCCAGCTGATTGACATCCGCACTCGCACTAGCCGGCCTACGGGTAGCGACACAAACAAAATGTAGATTGTCGCTCGGCTTTACATATTTGTTTGTGCTGCCCCTCATCATTACATATTACTTAAAATATACATTTACATTTATATTTCAATTTCCAAAACAACACCCATATATAATATCTGTATGTCATTTTGTTGTTGTCGAAGCTTCGATAATCAGCGCCAACTCGTATCGATAACAAGCTCCAGCTAAAGCCAACACCGAGCATCGTTCATCCGTGCATTTCCCGTTGGCAGTCAGCGCCTTGGGCCAAGCAACAAATACCAATTGCATACTTTCAGGCGCGAACTTAAAATTCACGCAGCCAAACAGTTTGACAGCCACTGCGCTACAAGCTTCTTTTGATTTTTTGATCATGAATAATTGCAAACACTTGTTAATTAATTTATTACATTTATTCTACAAAAAAAAATACATGTATGTGTGTGTGTGTGTGTCTTGCGCCCAGATTCAGCCTTAATTAATTGATTCATTGCGGGTTCGGCACGTCCTCAGGGCCCAAAAAACTTCAATTGCCAATTAGTCCAAGTTCAAGAATCCAATTATTGAAGGTATCTGCCACCAGCAGCAACGCCATGAAAACAAAAACAAAAATATATTAAAACATATTAACAAAGCACACGCACACGCAAACTAATTAGCATAAATCAAATTAATTTATTTGCCCGTGCGGCCCTGGCCAGCAAGCGACACCTGGCAAAGCTCACAGCCAATAAAACACAAATAAATAATAATAGAAAATAAGGTTAAAATATGTTGTTATGGACCTGCTATAAACAAATGGAGAGCTCACTTTTTGTCTGGGCTTAAAAGCTTTTTTGCCTCAAAATTGAAATATCTGTTTATTTATTTCAATAGATTATGGTAAGTATATGAAAATGATGCTAAACAGTTGTATTTAGAGTGCGTCTAGTTGGATGTGTTCGGCTAGCAGATACCCTGCACAACTGCTTAGATAGAGGAAAGAGGATAGAGGATAGAGGATAGAGGATAGAGGATAGAGGATATAGGATAGAGGATAGAGGATAGAGGATTAGAGGATAGAGGATAGAAGGATAGAGGACTAGAGGATAGAGGATAGAGGGGATAGAGGATAGGAGGATAGAGGATAGAGGATATAGAGGATAGAGGATAGAGGATAGAGGATAGAGGATAGAGGATAGAGGATAGAGGATAGAGGATAGAGGATAGAGGATAGAGGATAGAGGATAGAGGATAGAGGATAGAGGATAGAGGATAGAGGATAGAGGATAGAGGATAGAGGATAGAGGATAGAGTAGAGGATAGAGGATAGAGGATAGAGGATAGAGGATAGAGGATAGAGGATAGAGGATAGAGGATAGAGGATAGAGGATAGAGGATAGAGGATAGAGGATAGAGGATAGAGGATAGAGGATAGAGGATAGAGGATAGAGGATAGAGGATAGAGGATAGAGGATAGAGGATAGAGGATAGAGGATAGAGGATAGAGGATAGAGGATAGAGGATAGAGGATAGAGGATAGAAGATGGCGGGAGATCTTATTAATTGCTTCAAGCTGACTTTGCTAATTCATCTATTCTATATATATAATTATAGTCTAAGATCTTATATTTTATTCACTGTTAGTCGGAAAATTTATTACATTCATGAGATAGCTTAAGATCAGACACAGTCTTAAATGTAAATTACTTTAAAATAAGTGAAAAAACTAATTTTTGACTGAGTTATCGCTCGTAATTGTAATTATTAACTTAATTAAATCTCAACTTTGTGAAATATTTCACATACTAAATGAAGACTTTGAAGTCATTAAAAAAATAAATAAATCGCTTATTATACATAAAGTACGCGCTAAGCAATGCGGTATTCCCTGAACTTGACCTCCAATGACACTCAATCATACAAACAACAACAACAACAACAACAACATCGACAGCAACAACAACAACAACGGCAACAACCATTAAATGTTGTTTAAACACGTCTCGAATCGCAGCTCTGCGCTCGCATGCGATGCTGCCGAAGCTGAGGGCAGCGCAGAGCTCGAAGTGAGCTACGCCGAAGACAAATTCAGATTCGTTTTTTACATAAGAGTCTCATTACCTTAAAGTTAGACTTAGACTGTGCCAGAATAAATATATGTATATTCCCGGGCGTTTGTGCCTTCCGCGCTCCGTCTGAATGTGTGTCTTTACCTCTGCCTGTCTGTCCAGCTGGCTGTCTGACTGTCTGCTGTCCAGTTGTCTATCCGCCTGTTTGCCTGTCCGTACGTCTGCCCGTCCGTCCGTTTACATCCTTAAACATTAAGCAATACCACGCGCATATCTAGTTTACTGCAAGGAATTGATACTGATCGATATCGATAAGCCGATAACAATCTTCTCCTATTTTGCCATATTTCATTTATTTTAAGAGCTCAAATCAGCAAAATTTGTCATCTCACATCACTAATATAGAGACTTTTTGGATAACTGCTTGCTTTAAAGACTTCAAAATTTTGCTTGGGCACATGGACAAGTATCTCTTAGCTAAATTTCAATCTAAAGGAAATCAGATTCAGTCCAAATTGTTCAATTATTAAAGCTTTAATGGCGTTGCTTTTAATGAGCTTTTAAGCTCTGCACGCTGATCGTAGAGTAAAGCGAGCTGACAAGTCTCTGAGCAGAAGTTCCTTTTAACTGTAAACCATATAAATACAGTTTTGAATAACGCATCAGATATGTTACTTTATATATAAATACGTGCGAGAAACCTTATGAAACCTTATTACGTTCCTTAAACGAAATCTGATCATTACCGAATTATTATATCAGATGGATCGGATATCAAGAATTCACGTAAAATGCGTTTTAGTTCCTCAAGCTAACTTGAGTCTAACAAAGCCATATATATATATATATATAATATATATGCAACATATATAACATATATAACTTGTATAACATATATAACACATATAACATAAGCAACATATATAACCTATACTATATATATAACATATATAACATGTATTACATATATAACACATATAACATATGGAATATAAGCAACATATATAACCTATACTATATATATAACATGTGCAACATAAATAACACATATAACATATGTAACATATAGAATATATGCAACATATACAACATATACAACATATATAACATATATAACATATGGGATATATGCAGCACATATAACATATACAACATGTATAACATATGCAACATATATAACATATGTGACATATGGAATATATGCAACATATATAACCTCTACTATATATATATAACATGTGCAACATAAATAACACATATAACATATGTAACATATACAATATATGCAACATATGCAACATATACAACATATATAACATGTATAACATATATAACATATGGAATATATGCAGCACATATAACATATACAACATGTATAACATATGCAACATATATAACATATGTGACATATGGAATATATGCAACATATATAACAAATATAACATGTATTACATATATAACACATATAACATATGGAATATAAGCAACATATATAACCTATACTATATATATAACATGTGCAACATAAATAACACATATAACATATGTAACATATAGAATATATGCAACATATACAACATATATAACATATATAACATATGGAATATATGCAGCACATATAACATATACAACATGTATAACATATGCAACACATATAACATATGTAACATATGCAATATATGCAACATATATAACATATATAACATGTATAGCATATATAACATATATAACACATGTAATATACACATATACAACATACATAACACATGCTACATACATAACATAAGCAACAGGTATACAACATATGCAACATGTATATAAAAACCCAGTCATTCAATGGGTATTTTCAGCTTGATCATTCCGCTCATTCTCGTTTTTTTTTTTTAACTTCAATTCAATTATTCATATTGTTTTTTTATTTTGGCTTTTTGGCTTTTTGGGGCCATTGATCGACGGCTTTGGCAGCATTTCTGGTTATATTGGGCTTCGGGCGCTTCATCAACGCAAACGCGGAAGCGACGAAACGAAAATAAATCTAAGAAGAATAAGAGCTGCCACGCACACGGCTTAAGAACGCAGAACATGGGCAGAACAACAAAAAACAACAAATTAAAAGAAAGAAACTCCAATTTATATCTTTCGTTGTTTTCCTTGGAGCTGTCGTTTGTAAAGTAATTGTGACTTGCGATTTCAAACGACCCACGAGTCGTGTTCCGCAACGCTGAGCTCAGCTCAATTATAATTTAGATACTAGAGCGTACAGTCAGAGATACGGATACACCAAAGCCAAGAAAAACACTGAGCTCTAATATATTCTACACATATTTCAGACTAGCTGAGCCTAGATAGAGCGGGAGAGAGACAAAGGGGAGCAGAGAAGGAGAGCGAGACATGAGCAGAGCTAATTGGAGATGCAGATACATGGCTTAGGTCTGGCAAAAAGCAGCTCAAAAATAGGACTATGATCTGTAAACGAGATAGCTTAGACAGGCTGAGTTGAGGGGAGAGAGAGGGGGGGTGGGGGTAATAAGAAAGATGTGAACAGAACTAATTAGAGATAGAGATGCATAGCTTGGGACTTGTTGTATATGTCGCGAGAGACTTGAGACTGTTTAAGCTTAGCAGAGAGAATGAGAGAGATAGAAAGAGAGAGAGAGATATGGGCAGAGCTAGAGAGAGAAGAACAAAACTAATAATAGATCAAGCTGATTTCCAACAAAAACTTAAAAAATATGACTCAGCTCCATTTGTAAGATACTTAAGATAAGGTTTGCAGAGCAACAGGGAGTTCAAGAGAGACAAAAAGCAAGGCAGATAGAAAATGATGGAGAGGAACATAGCTTTCTCAGCATCTTTTCTATCTAGCTTCCGACTACGGTCCATACTCAAGAAAATTGAAAGAGATCAGCAGAGTTGCGGGACTATGAAGGTTTATAATTCTCCTAATCCTTCTAAACCTTTCTAATCTATATATATATATAAAGCAATTGCAATTATTGCAACTTTGCTTTAATCTCATGTGAGCCAGCGAACGTAGCAATTATAGATATTTAATTAGTAACGCCCATTGGAGCGCACAGACTTTTGGCCAAACAACGAAGCCAAATTTCAAATTTCAAAATTAAAAATTAAAAATTCAAATTTATGTTTTGCCATTTGTATTACGTTTTCAACTCAAATTGTTCGTTTTTCAGTGGTTTATTTCTGTCAGGCAGCTATTAAAGTTCATGTTAAAAGTAATTCGTTCGAGCTTATAATTTATATAAAGTTTATCACATGAAGGTAATTTAATTGAATGTAGAAGTAGATAAAATAGCAGTTATAAATCTCTGGAATATGTCAATAACTCTCATACTGGCATAGTAAGAGTGAAAATGGGTGTATTGGTTGCTGTAGCGTTCTAGCTAAGATCCTCAAGTTAGTCCTTTAAATGATTGTTTAGCCTGCGAAACGTAAAATATCGATCGCATAAGATTGGCTGTTTTTTTAGACTCGAAATGAGCATTATATTTCTTATTCAGGAATTCTTTTGACTACTATGCATTCAACTAAAACTGTTTCATCAGTCTTTACAATAAACATCAAATTTATTCTGTACAAAAAAAGTCCCCTCCAAGTATTCACAAAGAACAAGATGAACAAGACCTAAACGATAAGACTGGGGGAAGTTTTTTCATTATTAATTTAAAAACATATAACGTATTATTTATATATAAATATATATATACATATACAAATATATATATTTATATATTATATATAAACGTCTATCATGCATACATCAATCTTATGTATTTCTTTTTCACCGAAAGCTTAAATTCTCAAACAAAAATAGATGCTGATCTGTTTTTCAAGCCATCAAAAAAAGCATAATTAGTCAACGAATTTGCGTGCTCGTATAGTATACAAAGTATATAGTCTAAATGCCGGAAGTATAGGCAGAAATCTCATCTCAATTGGCTAACAAAGAAGAACAAAGCTACTTAAGTATTTATTGATCATGGTCATGATCAAGATCATGTGAATTTATAACAATATATATGTGAAGATATATATTTATATATATGTGTATCTATATCTGGGAAAGTACGGATCAATTAACGTAGGTCTGATAAAAAGCGATGCAGCTGCATAGCTGAGTTCAAATAGAAAAACAATTAAAAGCGCAGCAGCAAAACGGGTTTAAATATATATCTATATATATATCTATAATAAACAATAACTAATACAACTCTGTCAGAAGGGAAACAAAAGAAGAAGAGGCAGCAAAAGACTTAAAAGTGTAAAACAATGCGTAAAATATTTCCGGTTCAATTTTTTTTTCTATTTCAAGTCAAGCCCATTGATCATATTATGTTAATTAAGCTTTGATAGAAAACAAAATACAAATTCAATTTTAATATTTTTGTATTTATTTTTTTTTAGCCACCTTGACCGTGTGCCACGGACAAGGCTGCTAATTGGCCACGATCCACAAATTTGTGGTTAACAGTCGCGCGTTAATTGCTGCGAGGGCTGCGCAGTTTGCACCTGAAACGGAATTCGATAATGAAAATCCTTTGCACTCTCACCTTGGTAACAAAATCATCCTCCGGTTGCTCAGCGGGCGGCGCCATTCTGAAGCAGTTGCGTTAAGTTGCGTTGCGTTTCGTTACGTTACGTTGCTTTAGTTTCAGTTTCAGCTTGAGTATTCTAATTGCAGATGATTATGATTTGCACCAACAGGCCATAAATTGTCATGCTTTTGGCTAGGAACAAACAACACAAACGCACAGGAAACGAAAAGGAAAAAAAAAGCAACAACTGTTGTTTACAGACAATAAGCTCTTGCACTTGCTTAGCGACAGCTCAATTGACGAACCGTTTCGTCTTGCGTTTAGTTTATAACTGACAACAAAGCCGATCGCTAACAAGTTCAATGCGTTCGCCTATGCTGCTGCCGCTGCCGCTGTCGTCGCCGTCGTTGTCGTCGTCGTCATCATTGTAGTTGCCCTCTTGTCCACTTAGCCGTCGCTCTCTTCGTCAAGTTCGCCGCGCTGGCTTCGGCATTGCTCGGGTCGCGCTCATCGTAACTATGGCTTGACTCATGTGTTCTGTTGCCATGGCTTAGGTGAAACTGGTTCTAGTTCTGTTTAAATTTTGGATTTTTGTTTGACTCCTAGTTTGAACGACTGATTCCAGTTAATGTTAATGTTATCGTTATGCTTATGTCTATTGATGTTGTTGTCGTTGCCTGGCTTACGACATCAATTGAACTTGTTGCTTGAACTTTGCACGCCCCCAGCCACAGTTGAGAGAGCATTTGAATGGCAAATGACAATGCCGGCACAACTGCAGCAGCAAACGGATTGACATTGACCACAAGTGGCTAAAACGCGAGCCGTACAACACTTGGCCTGCATGACAGTGTTCGTCTCTCTCTCTGTCTCTGTCTCTGTCTCTCTCTCTCTCTCTCTCTCTCTCTTGCCTACGCCCGCTGCACTTTTGCAACGTTTCCCAGCTGCCCTTGAAACTTGCAACGCTGCGTTGCACACAGCCGATCAAAGCAGCTGGCTCGCGCTAGCGCTTTTCTCACACTTGTTTGTTACTGTTCTGCACTATACCCTGTAAGACGACCCTGTTAACTTACGGTTACAGTAGACAAAAAATTTGCATATTTTAACTCTAATATTTATATAATATATATAGATTGAAAATTTATAAACTTACAGCAATTATCTATATATATATACATCTATACATCTATTTACATTTTTATACATTTTTACTCTTAATACAGAGCATCTGCTAGTCTGTCAAGCCCAATTCAAGCAATTGCTAAAATGCTCTGCTGCAAATCCGAGCGAGTTCGCTTCGTTATTAGCTATGGCAAATATACGTAAGTTCGTTCTGAAACCATATCCCCAGTTAATGCTATAATAATTCGCCTAGAATTGAGCTTAGTTCTGTATAGCTTAAGATCATAGCAGTTTCCCATAATTAGTTCAATTATATCATATAACTTGTTATACACATACTTCAATATCAATCTTAGTGCATTTGCAGTTCGTTGCAATTGATTTGCTGCTGCTATAATTATAGTTTTATGATTGAATGTGCAGCGCGGTGACACGCTGCCTGATGGCCACCGGATTTTTGATTTTAATTTCGATTTTGATTTTGATTCTGATTTGAAGCCATAGCAAATTGGAGGCGTTTCTAGCAACAGGCACAAACTATCTGCATACCCTGTACTTGGAGAAACTAAAACAGCGAATCGATTGCTTAGAAGTCACCTGATCGATTGTTTAGTTCCGCTTATGTAAAGCCTAGTCAAAACCTCAATGGGTATATTCGATATCTTCAAATAATATTATTGCTTATGCATTTCTATAATCGATAAATATCGATTTAGAGACAAGCGGACATATATTCAGTGATAAATAGAATACAAAATATATCCAAATAGCAATAGCTTATGCATCTACATAATCGATAAACATCGATTCAGAGGCAGGAGACCATACAAAAACATTTATTCAAATATTTTAACTCTAGGCGACTCTGATTACAGAGTATCTTCAAATAATATTGGAGTAGATCTTTTATATCGATAAATTATGCATTTGTATAATCGAAATTTATCGATTTAGCAGCAAAACAGCATTTTTCAAAGTTTTTAACGAATTATGCGAATACAGGGTATCTCTCCGCTTAAATACTGCAGACCTCAGGCCACTGCCAACTGTTCGGTTTTCTAGTTCGAGCTCGGCTTTTAGCTGGATTTAATATGGAGTTTCAGTTGCATTTTAAGTTCAATGCAAACATGAAAATCGGCTAAAGACCCAGGCCAAAACAGAAACTTTAGAAAAACGAGACTTTTAGATACCCACTGCCATTCATAGTCCAATAATTAACAAAATTAAGTTAGTTGTGCGTAATTAAAAGCGTGGCATGCCAAGGCTGTAAGCTGAGAGCCAAAAGCTGAGACGCGCGGGACGCGAGGCGAGAGTCAAAAACAGAAAGTCAAAAGCCGCCCGCTCGTCAAATTAATTATGTATTTGGATTTTGATTGAAAACTTTAGCAGTCTCTCAATGCGCTTATATTAGATTATAAATAATAAATCTGAGAGCGCGACAAGCCCCCCAACAAATGCCCCAAATACTTCTGATGGCCCCCGTCACCCGCTCAGCTCGCGTGCATTATGATTACACGCATCCACGCATCTGACATCAATTTGATGGCTCAGGGACTTAGTTCTGGGGCCGGGCAACTGCCGAGGATTACGACTCTGAAACTTGACAAGATAAGCAAAGAAAAACGCAGACATATTTTAAGCTAAAGACAGCTGCTTTAGCATGGAGAATATATCGAATAAGGGCTAATCGGTCGGCTTTGGTATACTCATATACTCGCTCACAAACTGTGAAGAGTATATAAGTTCAGTTCATCAGCTCATTTGGGCCTTAAATGACTGAAACTTGAGCACTAAAAAATAGCCAACGTCTTAGAGGCGTTGCAGATTAGAAAACCCTATGTATTCCCCGTACATAAATATCCTTGAACTTGAACCGAAAACTGAACCAGTGACAATTGGTAATGCTCTATAGTTCCAGAATTCTGCCAACTCCTTTAAGCTGATGACGCACATCTGAACACGATCAGCATTAACACAACTCAAGCAAGCAAAATTAAATAGAAAATCGATATTTATCGATCAAAACTCCAATCACATTCAAGATAAACCAGTTTTTATTGAATAAATGATCCAAGCGAATGAACCTTTAACGACGAGCCTTGGCAATGCAGGCATCGATATCAGCACCGACCACGTCCAGAGCCGCGACAGCTTTGTCGGAGGCAACATGAGTGCAGGAGTTGCTCTCGCTGAAGACGGCCGGAATGCGTTCGTTGGTGCTCTGCTGGATGGTCTTGATCGAGGAGCGTGCGTTGACCAGAAAGACGGTGCCCTGCACATAGAACTTGGCCATGCAGGATTGACGCAGCACCACGTTCTTGTAGCTCTGGCACTTGTTGTAGGTGCGACCCAGGGCGTAGCTGCCATAGACCAGCTGTTGCGTGGCCTCGTTCACATCGCTGACAATCTCAGCGGAATCGTGAGCAGCGCTCACGCCGCATTCGTGCAACTCCTGATGCGCAGCATCCAGCACGCTGCCAATCTGTTCGTCCTGTTCGGCCACACACTCGGGACTCTCGGGACGGCGCGCCTCCAGCTCCTCGACAGCCTGATCCAGCTGCTCGTGCGGCTCGACGACAATCTCCTCGTACTGATGCGCCAACGCCTTGGCCGCATTCTCGCCAATCTGCGTCATCTCGTCCACGATGGTGAGCAGCTGGGCGTCCAGTGGCGCTGGCACCGACACGGGCTGGGCGTGGCCAACGCTGGCCAGGCACAGGCAGAGACACACAATGATGTACTTCATTTTGATTTTTCACTTCAACTTGGCCACTGCCCAGCTCTGCCTTGCTATTTATACCAAATCCTTATCGAGACGCGACGCTACGCCTGATACCGTTTGATTGCAAATCGATAATAATTGATCATAAATCAAAATCTTTTACGAGCTACATCATATAGCTAACTAGTTCATTGATCAGCATGATTGTAAGCTATTTCAAATATACAAATTAAAGCATTTGCTAGATTATAAAAATATTCGAATCGATCAATCAATCAATCAATCAATCAATGACTGTCAGAAAATGCCAAATTTCAGTGGATTTCAATTTCCAGATCAGTTTTAAAAATCTAGTTTGAAATACTATTTGCTTAAGATATAATTAACGTCTTAAGAACATCCTGCTACCATAACATATAGCTCGATCCACAAGGAAAAGTAGCAAAAAATATTGTTTCAATCATATGCTTGCTTGTTCCCGAAACTGATTGAGCATAATAATTATATATATATTATATATTTGGAAACAATAAAAAATAATAGTCTAAGGCAATATACAAATCATTTCTGATTGCCATGTAATCGAAATTAAGTGTTCAAGTTGAAACGATAACATTATCGATAGACAAAGATCAATAAATATAGATATATAAACATTTACGCATATAAAATTATGCATATCGATATCTATAAATATTTATCGATCATATCGGATCGATATCTAAAGCAACATCGCTAGATCATGATGTTATATTAATCGATATGTATGTCCACATGTATAAGGTTCAACAATTGATAGCTTTAAATAATTATTTACTAATTTGATCGAACGTTAGTATTTGCCGTTATCAAAGCCCTCGAGAGCTTTATGATCCGTAATTGCTGCTGGAATTAGATTCGGTTTTATTGCTGATTTCAGCTTTGACTTTTAATCGATGCGCATAAAAAGTGTCTGCAAGAATTTGACGGATTACTATAAAATGCGATTAGATTGTTTCGAGAGCTAAGGAATGAGAAAGGAGCTCTAAATATACGGAGTACTATACATAGAGAGCCAATACTTAAAGCGAAACGCAAGTATAGTTGTTTTTGTTTTTTTTTTTTTTTTTGGTTTTTTTTATTATTATTTTTATTGAATTATTTCATTTTGTTCAAATACAATAAATAAACATTTAAACTATGTAGTGGTATGTATATATATATATTTATATATATATATATATATATATATATATATATATATATATATATATAAGTATTTTATATAAATATATGTATACATATATAGATTTATATATATATATATATATGTACATATAAATCCTTTTGTTTTTTTTTTATATTTTATATTAAATATTTAAATAAGTGTATATATATTGTTTGTTTTTTTTTTTGTAATTTTCCTTGTTTTCTTGCTCGTTTCTTGTTTTTTGTTTTGTTTTTGTTTTTGCAATTGCGAATTATTTGAAAGAAACATTTTCATATAAGTAAATTGCTGTTTGTTTTTTTTTTTTTTTTTTTTTTTTTTTGTGGGGGCTTTTTTTTCTTTTTTTTAGTTTTTTTTTATGTTTTTTTTTTCTTTCATCAAATATTCAAGTATATATATATATTTATGTATATATATGTATGTATTAATAAAAGTTGTTCTTGCTGCATAATGCTAATGTATATAAACTGTTCCTACAAGGATACACATGTATATATATATATATACATATATATAGATGTATATATATAGCCTCTATATAGCCTCAATATGTGTGTATTTGTATATGTACACAAAATTTGTTATATGCATATGTGTGTGTCTGTGTGTGTGTGTGTCCGCTGGCTATGTGCCCTGGTTTAGCTCAGTGTACATATGTAGAATGTATGTACCGTTATTTAACTAGTTCAACTTCTGTTGTCTGTCTGTGTATGTGTGTGTGCTTGTGTGTCTTTGTATACATCTTTGTATAGATAGTTTCTAGCCACTTTTTGATTTGGCCTAAGTTAAAACTTGCAACTGACGCAAAGTTTTTTGGTTGCAAAATTTTCAATTAATTTTCTTTTTTTTTTTTTTTTGTAAAGTTTTTTGTTTTTCTTTGCATTGTAATTTTTATTGGAGTTTTTCTCTTTTTGGGGCTTTTTGCTTTTATAGTTTATATTAGTCACAGTTTTTTTATATTATTTATTTTTTATGTTTGCAAAAGATTCAAATGAATTCAGCGTAGTTTTTTCCATTAAATATTATTTTATCTTTTTTTTTTTGTTTGGTAAGTAGTAAAAAATAAAATACAAGTAAAAGGCAATTTCGTAGTTGAAAAAATTTGTGCTTAATTTTGTAGAAATTTTTTTTTGCTTATATTAAAAAAAACAACAAAAACTGTAAAATCTTTGAATGCATTTTTTAATTGTTTTTTTTTTAGTTTTTGGTTTTTTATGTATATTAAGTTCAATAAATTCGTTACGACACATGGACTAAGACACAGCAAAAAATATTTATGCTTAATTTTTAGGTTTCAGTTTTTCGTTTCGTTTGGTTTTTTTTTAATTTTTTTTATCATTTTTGTATTTATTTATTTTTTTTGTTTTTTTTTTTAAGTTTTAATTGCATGGTTTTCCTCACATTATGATTTGCCATTGTAAATATTTGTTTGCTAAATATTAAATGATGAAACAGCTAAAGAACTTTCGAACTTTTTGTAGCAATATGTATATAGTATATAGTATATATATATCTGTTGTATACATAAGGGAGTTTGTCTTTGCTGTTTTTCAATACACACACATTGCTATAGCTCGCTACTGTTTGTTGAACTTGAAATTGTTTTTGTTTTTCGTTTGTTTACTTTTAAGCTCTTGCCAGAGCTAAACAATCAACTGTCAATTGTAATCAGTTGGCTCTGATGCAGCGCTTGAAATAGGTTGTTATAATTTTTCCTTTTAGTTTTTATGCTATAATTTTGTTTTGATATGTTCGCTTCAAATGCGTGTCATGAAAATACATTTGCTTTCGTATTGATTTCGTTATCATTATCAATTGTTTTATGTTCTCTTATTTTTTGTTAAAACAACTCTCCATAAATATGAGTATAGTAAATAGCACATGTATGGTAGCTACATATGTACACATACACACACGCCTACAGACACACATATATATAAATATATATATATATATTTATATATATATATATATATATATATATATATATATATATATATATATATATATATATGTATGCATGCATGCATATGTATATGTATTGAATCGGGCAATCGTACATTCTGCAACTTCTTCCTCTTCTTTGTTAACGCAAAAAAATTGCTTGTAAAACGTAAATAAATTTGTTCTTAATTTTTTACATTTCTTTTTGTTCTCGTTTTTTTTGTTTTTGTTATTAAACATTAGTGTGGCCAAAGCTTATTGTCGGAAGCGTTATGCATTTCATTTTCATTTCCATAATTTACTTTTTATTTAATTTTATTTTAATAAATTGTTCAACTTTTCGTTTCATTCAAAAATTCCCATTTTTTTAAACTGCCTCAAATTGTTGTAAAAATATTATTCGCACGCTTCTAATGTACTCAACACTTTGTTAATATTAAAAAAAAATACTTTTATAATATTAGGAAAAACACATAATATTATTTTATATATGTATATATATAGATATATATTGATGCATTTTGCTGTATTTTTTAAATGATTTGGTGTCCTTAAAGTGTGTCTATATAAACTCGTGTTTCAATATATATATAAATTAATATGTTGCTGGTCCAGCGATGAACTAGGCGTCGGTGGCAGGTCCAGCGTTGATCGGGTATTTATAGTCTTAATCAATAAGTTGCTGGTCCAGCTATGAGCTAGGCGTCGGTGGCAGGTCCAGCGTTGATCGGGTAATTATAATCTTCTTATGATGATTATGTTGGAGGGTTTGACTTCACCCCCTTTTCTATTAACTGGCCTTGTGGCTCAGCAATGATCAGAAATATAACAATTTGATTACGGCGGTGTGCCGGAGTAGTGCGGGTTTATTCTTCAAACTTCAATGCAAAACTGATTTTTAGCTACATAGAATATTTCACTTAAGCTAAGCCAAAACTCGCATCACACCACAATGTCATGGTCGGCAAGCCGACTCAGCAATCTTAGGCAATAACGGAAACTCTTGCAGTAAACAAAAGTATCTGGTTACCGCCGCTGACCATTGCAGTTATAGCGCGCTGATACAAAGTATGCAGTGTCGCAATTGCGAGGGCTGTTTCTTAACTTACGAAACACGCGATAGCGAGGGTTGATTATAAACTTATGAAATACCCTATATTAAATGTTATGTGTTAACTACTCCCCCTTCAAGTGTAAGGCCGCCCTCGGCCGACCCAATTCCGGCGACGACTTCTCGTAATTGCTTCGCAGACTTCCTTGCGTCGATGAACCGCCAAAGGGTGAGGCCAATGCAGATTAAAGCACAGCATATACCTCCAATGATGAATGCCACACGATAAGCTTGATCAGTTCCGGCGTCTTTCTTGAATTGCTGTATCTCCTCCAAATTACGTTCATTTAAACGATGAAGATAAGGGAGGCTGAGGACATCTTGGCTGGCAGTGATGTTCAGCAAGGGAGAGTTGGCAATGCCCGGGACTCTATTGCGTACGTTGTTGTGGTTGTAAAACAGAGTCCCGTTGATCGCGACTCGGTCCCCGAACGTAATGAGATGCGTGCCGTGTACTTGGATTTCAGTGCCGTTATCCACCTGGATCCTTGCGGACCCGTCGTTAAGAATGATGATTCCATCATCTACGTGGGTGATTATTTCCAGGTTGCTCGGCTGGATTTCACAGTGTGCCGTGCCACCTGCATGGAGCTCTTTGGCACATGAACTCTCTAATGCCAGACGACAAAAGGTGGCTCCAGGTGAAGCGGTGCAACTCTGCAGTGTGTGGGTTTTTCCATCGCATTCGGCTATGACGTTGTCAGGCAATCGCAATATGAAATTCTTGTGAATGACAGGATAAATCGTAATTTTTCTGCAAGCTTGTTTA